GGAGAAGAAGCAGAAGAAGTCGTGATGCTGGCCCTGGCTCGCTGGCTTTAATTAATGCCCTCGGGTTCCGAGACTTTTGCTGTTCACTGTCGAATGGCCGACCTTTGTGCTCTGTGCCTGACGGTTCGGTGCCGCGTAAAAAAGGTTGGCGACACCGGCTGAGCGGTTACTACGATACTACGACTAACAGTCATGAGCCTGATCCTGACATTCCTGTCCTTGTCAGGTTCCTGCGTCGCCGGCTCCTGGGCAGGCGTGCGCCCCAGAGCCCCAGAAGGGTTTGGTTTACGGGCTCGCATGCGTCTTAATATACTAGGGCTTTGCTCTGAGACCCTTAGATCATCTTGGTTATTTCGTACAACCCTAAACTAAACTAACCCCAAGCCCTAAGCCCTAACCCCAAGCCCTAAACTCCCTACAGGCCATTCAGAATTCAGACATAAGGACAGTCGGTCATCGTGAGTGGAGCCTCGCCATAGCATCGCAAGCTTATTGCTGCTAGGCCGGTGTCAGTTTGTATTACTCAGTACTATGTACTCTGTACTCTGTACTGCTGTAGTAGTACGTTTCAGGTTCATTTGTTAGTCTGCGGCTTGCGGGAGTGATGATATATTGTGGTCGTGCGGTGAGCGGTTGTGCGTTGAGACAGGAGTGGTTGCGGGCTGCCGTGTGCATTGCAGTTGTGCATTGAGATCACTGAGATATAGTGCGACACGAGTGGTTGCGCAGTTGTGCGGGTTGTGCGTTGCCTCGCCTCGTACCCTGGTATGTGCATTGGTTTGGATGTGTGCTGCAGTTGTGCATTGAGACAGTGACAGGAGTCGGAGTGGTTGCGCGTTGCCATTGCCGGGTGTGCAGTTTAGTTGTGCCTTGAGACACGGGTCGTTGTATTGTGCAGTTGTGCGTTGCTTTGTATGTGCATTGGCTTGGCTGTGTGCTTTGACTTCAATCGGTTGTGCCTTGGTGTTGAAAGTTGAACGTTGAAGGTCGCAGGTCGCAGCCACAGAGTCCGCGACTCAATGCCGGCGAGGTTGATTCAGGAGGAGTTCAGAGTTTATACAGTCTAGAGCGTGAGGGTGGAAGTCGCTCCTCCAGCTCAGCTCGGTTTCAGCCTGTGGGTATCGTTGAAGCTCGCGTGAGGTCAAAACTTGCAGACCACGTCGTCCATCTGCCTCACCATCAACCGTCGGGGCCGCAGATTCTAGACTCTGGACTCTGGACTCCTGGTCAAGTTTGATCCATGCAGAGTTGAAGGCAGCTGTCATGAGGCTCATGAGGAGGGCTGTGTCAAACATCGACATCATACAGGAAAACCAAGTTCTTAAATATTCGAAGGCCTGAAGGAGGCAGGAGGACTATGTAATGCAACCACACTGTCCTATGATTCGCATGTTAGCATTAGGCATTGGCAGGCTCAGCAGGTGACTATCAGACCTTTGCATTTGCAGCATCAGCATAATACGGACGAATACTTAGCTTGGCTCTCCAATGGTCCAATTTCCAATACCCGACTTCCTAAACTTTGTAGGTTCTTAGTTCTTAGTTCTTACAGTTTAGTAGTAATCTGAAAGTTTAACCTTTTAGTTCCCGAGCGTAGTGAGTAGTGGGAATCATGTCGCGCCCCAAGGGCCCCAATCCCCTCCCTCCACCACCCATTCCACAGATCGGGGTTGACGTCCCCAAGCCCCCAGCCATTCCCCCCATTCCACCACCACCCGCCTACCCACACCCCGACACCGCCACCACGGACACCGGCACCCACCCCGACACCACCCCTCGACCCTCATGGAGACCCACAGGACCCCAAAGACCCAAAGCCAAGCCATCTAGGAGTCCCAATCCCGCCAATGCAGCCCAGTCAGCGAACCGCAAGGCCAATGCAGCCCAGCCAGCGAAGCCCAAAGCCGATGCAGCCCAGCCAGCGAAGCCCAAGGCCGATGCAGCCCAGCCAGCGAAGCCCAAACACGAGGAGGGCTACCGTTGCCGAGCGTTCCTTTTCACATGGGAGCCGTGGGACCCATGCCACCTCTATGGGCACTCCCTCAGCTCCCTCTGCTGCCGCCCATGTCCCTGCCGCCCATGCCGTCGATTGATGTCGACGAGGCCGATGAGGACGAAGGGCTTATCTGTTTTCTAGCCCCCCCCCAGCTTGTCGCAGGACACCGGTGGTCGTCCAGAGCCGGTGCCGGTGGTGCCCCTGGCCAAGGCGGATGCCAATGCCGATTTCTGTGCCTGTGTTTGATTCTTCGCTTTGGCCCCTCAACTTGTCACAGGACACCAGTGCAGGGCCGGCGGTGCCGGCCATGCCGAAGGCCGACGTCTTTGTCTTCGTGACCTGTGACTGGTTTTGCGTGTGAGAATTGGCTACAATAAGGCAGCTTGTCGCAGGACACAGGTGGTGGTCCAGGGCCGGCGGTGCCGCCGGGGCCGGCGGTGCCGGCCACGCCGAAGGCCGACGTCTTTGTCTTCGTGACGTGCGACTGGTTTTGAGTTTTGAGTCTGAGTCTTCGCTTTAACCCTCACTTGCCACAGGGCCCATCGGGGCTGGCGAAGAGCCGCAAAAAGGCCAGCGGTCAGTGGCAGCGGTGGGAGTCGGAGTTGTCGGAGGTTTTGTGCATTCAGCAGGACTCCAGATCCAGATCGCGGTCGCGGCGTCGCCGATCCCAGGCCACCGATTGCGTCATGCTCATTCTCTCTGGCTCCCTAGTGGTCTGCAACCGCTGCAGCTCTGCATTTCCTGTAGGACAAAAGGCGGCGCAAGGCCAGGCCTAGCTACATCGCCGGATCCGAGCGTTGAGTTTGCTGCTCCTACAGGACTCTTCGTCGAGGTCAAGGAGCCGATCCAAGGCCAGCAACCACTGGGCCGTCTCGTGTGGTATGCTGACCCCTGACTCCTGGCAGGACCGGAAAAAGAAGAAGGCATCATCAACCGGACCGATTTGGTTGTGTGGCTGCTTATCCTAGTCCTGGCAGGCGCCAAAGAAAAGCAAGGACAAGAAGGACAAAGCGGACAAAGGCACCAAGACCAAGAAGGCCATCCACAGATCAGCAGCAGGAGGCTGAGGGCTTGTCTTTCGACTCCTGACAGGTGAGCGATTCCCAGGCCACGAGCTCGCATCAGGCCATCAACAGCATGACAACATATGACTAGTGTCCACACACGCACTGGGTTCAACAGATCATTCGGCAGGGTGCCGCTGAAGGAGTCCAGTCAGTCGAGGCCAGCGTGTCCTGCATCGTGGCATGGGTGTCTTGCAGTCTTGATGTGCCTACCTTAGTGCTTGTTCGAAAGGAGCCACAAGTGACAGTCAAGGCTGAGACGCCGATTTTGGAGGAGCAGGAGATCCCGTCGGATATCGACTATGTGGTGGTACCCGGGTGTTTGTTTATCTTGCGAGGACACCCCTCGGCCAGGGATGGCTGCTGCAGTCGAGCCGAATGAGGTGCTTTGGACTTTGACCTTTAGACATGTTCTGTGCTTGGCATGGTTATCACACAAAACCAACAACTGTGTCTGTCGACAGGATGCGGCTGTTGACCATGGACATGCTGCTGCCGTGGCCGATGACGCATGAAGCAGTGGCGGCGTGTGAAAACGCTTGATTTTGCCGGCTTGTGCGTTGCCTCTGCATGGCGTTGCGCGTTGCGCTGCACTGTGCTGCACTGCGTTGCATGTCTTGGCGTTCCCGTTGTGCAGTGCACTGAGCAGTGACCCGACCCAGGCCAACCTGCACTGCATCACAGTGTGGCGGCGAGGCCGTGAGTTGTGATTGAGGCAGTGTGGCATGTTTACGAAGGGCGGTGCAGCGTAGAGAGGGCTGCGTTTGGGCCGTTTGGGCATTGTCCTGGTTTTGCTGTAATATGTACTCGATCGAGCCACTACAGTCACTGCACTGTGTTGCATGACTCCGCTGCATTGCATGACTTCGTGCTCTGTTGTGCAGTCATCAGTGCAGTCCAGTGCATGAGCGTTCACCCGACCCAGACTGACCGACTGTACTGCTGTTGTGGAACTCCCGCTGATCCCATCCAGGTCTGGCTTCATCGTGTGCATCTGCTGCTACCTGGGCCAATCCTGGTTGACCTCGGGAGGAGCACTTCTGCCTTTCCTAGATTGTCCGACTGTGAATACTGTGAAGCATCACGCTTGTGCACAGTGCTCAGTGCTTAGCATCTTGTAACGGGAGCGCACGCGCATGCACACACACACACACACACACACACGCACACACACACACACACACGCACGCATATATATATATATATGTACACCCACACACACACACACACCCACCCACTCACACACATGCACACCCACACCCACCCGCGCACCCCCACACCCACTGCGGATTGTGCGTTGCTCCGGCATGATGTGACTGACTTGTTGGTTGATCCGTATTGTGTCGAGATGAGATCACCGCAGCTTTTTCCAGGTCTCCGAGCCAACTCAGCCGTTGTAGTTTGTTGTAGCACGGCACGAGTGCTCAAACAATGTCGATCATCCGAAGGGACACCAAGAGGCCACGAACCATGCCAGATATGAGCACCGGGCCGCAGCGTGACTGCCAATGTTGTTTGTCGTTTGCTGCCAGAATGTCATGTCCATCTCAATGATCCTGCATGGTTGTCAAAGTTTACATCTCACCCAGGTGCTGGGTTATCTACCGGCAGGGAGACGAGTATGTCATGCTGAGCGCTTTGCGTGATGGCCGCGCAACTTGGATAGATGCGATTGGCGCAATTGTACTGCTCGTGCCTTTGTCGAGCTTTTGCACCGACCATGTCTGGTTGTTGAGCTGTGTCAGGTTGTGAGTTGTGAGGGTTCATTCTTCGTCGGAACTTGTGCGCTTGTGCAGTCTGGTTTCTGAGCGGTTCCAAAGTGCCAGGTTAGGTGTACTAGGTTGGAGATTGTGTCTTGCTTCAGCGTTCGCAGAAGTTCGCAGCTGACAGTGTCGGATTCGATAACTGTTGGACGCGACAAGGAGATCGGCCGGTGGCACATGACAACCCACCTCAAGAGCAAGCTGGACATGCGTGGTCGACGGCACATGGAACACTTGCCGGGCGTTGACGCGCAATCCTTCCGGACTTTGGCCACATCCACCACCATGCTGTTCAGGGATGCGTGGCGAAGAGATGTTATACAATCACTAGCCCAAATCCAGCAACAAGCGAGATCCGCCATTCACTACAACGAGGTCAGGGTGGCTGTGATCCCGCCTGGCAATCAATCCCCCCCTTCCGAGCTGGTGCCGTGGACCCCCCTGGCTGCCCCCCTCCAGCAAATCCTTCTTCCCAACGGGTCCCCATGTGAGCTTGGTCGCCTCATGGAGACAATGCATGCGCTGACGCAGTTCAGCCTGGGGGACCACACGGACATCGGCACTCAGACTCAACTTCTGAGTTTGATACAGGATGTGCACCAAGCCCTGACACTACGCACCACAACAGCAACCAGGACGGGTGCTGCCCCTAGGCTGCAGACGGGTCTTTGGGTGAAAATTAGTTTAGCCAGCACGTTCGGTCCCAGGCCTCTGCGGCTGCGGGTGGGTTTGGCTATATGCCAGAAACCATCCTCAACACCGTCCTCCTTTGCGACAACCTCAAGGATGTCGGCGCCCTGCGGGAGGCCGTGCAGCAGGGCATACGCATCGTACTCAGCCAAGCGCTGTCGGACTGCATCGACGCTCAGCTTGTGCGGTGGAAGATCCCATCCTTTTCTACGATTTATCGCCACCGGCTGCTGCTCGACGTTTGCACCATGAAATACAGCAGGCTGAAGATATTCAATTCCGACGGGCAGTGGTGCTGCCACATCCGTGCAGACAGCAGCCCGCAATTCGGCAAAGACTATTTTGTGGTGGAAGTTGACCATGTCAATATGTCCTCTGTGGACCAAACCACCACCCTGCCCGGGATGAAATCTCTGATCAAGCGGCGCATCCTCCCGCTACAGCTGATCGGCGGTCGGGCAGCTTCAGCCGAACATAAATCGTTCCGTCTGACACTAGCCCTGTCAGCGGACACGGCCGACACTTACGTAACACTGGGCCGAACGTACTCCATGGCTTTCGATATGGGCACGGAAGCCAAACTGCTTGTTGCACCCGAGCCCGCGGGAGGCGGAGGAGGGGGGGCGTCAGCAACGGCTCTAGCCCCAGAGCGTGAAACCTTCCAACCCTTGGATTTAGTGCTCCCCACCAGGGTCCCCACGGGCGAGGACAACACCATGGACGCGGTGTCCAGGCTCTGCCCAAGGGCCATGCCACTGGGTGATGCTGATCACGCCCTGCATCACACAATGCTGGAAATGCAGCACGCTTTCGGCGACTGGGCCTGGTTCCACAGCTGTTTGAACTCCGTGTCCAAGTTCTTCAGAAGCTGGACACGGCTACGTAGGTTCAGAGCGACTTGCATCGACGGCAACCCCAGGTTTAGGTCGGCAGCGCTCCGCGATTCTTTCAGCGCCATGTTCGTTACAGCCTGCCCTACACTGGTAGAGCACCGCTGGGAGTACTTGTCACTCAGTCGCACCATCAGGTTGTCTCTTTTGATTGATTCTGCAGCATCTCATCCACATGTGCACTGTGCAGTTCATCCGACTGCGACTGACTAGTTACTGTTGTGCTGTGACCCGCATGCAGTTGATGTTGGTTGGTTCGATTTCACTGGCTGCTGTCTCTGCGGTAACTGCGGTAGGTGCATGAGTCTTGCGAGTCTTGGAGCTTGTAGGGAATCGGGAATGGCAGTGACTTGCCGCCGCTCTATCGCGCTATTGTCGCTCAGGCGCGACGTGCTGGACTGGGTGGTCCCGCGCCAAGAGCCAATCCGTGCCCTGAACACACAGCACCTCATGGCCTCACACGACATTGACGCGGACGAACTCAAATTCCTCAGCCTAGTGGCTGGTTCCGGCGACACCGAGGATGAACAGTGCAAGGCAAACCGTTTCTGGGCAATGGCTACGCTGATATTGCCGCTGGCGGAGTGGGGCCACACGGTCAGGAACTGGTTGCACTCATGCCCCTGTCCGAAGCCTTGCCCGCCCAGCTCCAACGCCAAGAAGTACGCACAGCAACCATGCCCATTGAAGGGACGGCGATCCATCGACATGGCCTGTGGGAAGTTTACAGAGTTCGGTAAACAACTCAATGCCGTTGGGGTTAGCATCAAAGCCAACTCATTGCTACAGCATCTTGGGGCAGAGCTGGGCAACGTCCTGCTCACCGAGTTCAATACCGCCAAGGGCCGGATGCAGTTCCGTGTGACGCAGTCATTCTCGTTTTGGGCTGAGCGACCCTGGAACATCTTACGTATTGCCGAGTGTCTCCAGGATGAGGCCACAATGCAATAAGTTGTAGGCGTGTAGTTTTGTTCGCATTGTACCCTGTTGCCCACAGGGGGAGCCGGCGCTAGCAAGGAGTCGCGGCGAAGCATCCAGGTTGCTAGCCGATCCGTCGCCGCCGAGTATGATCTCAGTCATGGAGGCCAACTTCTTGCTGCGTGGATCCAAGCTGAGATCCGACCTGGAGAGTTTCGCCGCCGGAGGTTCCGGTCCCGGTCCGTCGTGGTTGTGCACTGGTAGTGCAGTGAGCTTGTGAGCTGGCAGTTTGCTGCACGATTGTGTGTTGAACAAACTCTCCTGGCCTGTCTCAGGGCCTCAGGGGTGTGGTTTGTTTGCCTTGAGTTGAAGAGCTGTGTTGCAGCGCACATGAGGCGTGATGGGAATCCATCTGCGGCGTGAACTGCTGTCATACGGGACTGCATTACTGGTGCTGCAGGGCCGCGTCGGTTCCTGCGGTCAGTGCCGAGATCCGACGCATGCAGAACAAGGATCTCAGAGACCCTGTGTTCCAAAGCATGCTGCCAGATTTGTTGACCGGGATCGGCAGCATGACAACCCTGCCCTGGAGCAACCGTGACCAGCTCATCCAGAACATCACGAAGCAGGTGTACAGGGGCCTGCATGCCGATCTGTCTGAGCAGGCTGCCTATTTTGCGAGATTCCGCAAGCACCTGCAACGTGTCCAGTCACACGAAGCGGCACAACCGAGACCGGTCGACTACGATCTCATGGTCGCGCACATCCGCCAGGCACTGCAGGACCAGGGCACAGATGCCTTTTTTGCCATCACCAAGGCGACGCCAGACGACTGTGTGCCGTACACTGTCTTTCAGGTGCTGTCCATGAACCCGGGGCAGCGGATGTACCTGCAACGGGCAGCACATATGGGGACAGACGAATTTCGGTTGCAACCCTGACATGCATGGTATGCTCTGCAAGAACAGAAGCTACACTACTTGTTCAAGACTTGTTGCTGTTCCCATGGGTTGTACGTTGTCGGAACAGGAAAGAACAGCCTGATTAGTCATGACAATAGACAGCGGCGGCCAAGGTCTGGCAGGACGCGGTGGCCGTGCGCATGATCGGCAGCACACACATGTCAGCGGACACACGTGTGCACTTGGACTTGGAGGGGTCTACGATCGAACCTGTCCGTGTCGTGGACTTCTTTGATTTGTACAATATCGAGTCGCTGATCCGGTTCATGCGCGCTGCTTGCCGTGAGCATGTGTGTCGTCAGATTGGTGCGGTTGGCAGTTGGTAGCGGTAGCGGTAGTGGTGTTGCATATCCTTAGGTCGACACACATGCCGATGTCAGCGAAGCAAGCATCGCTGACGCCGCCGACGAGTCCGACATGTCCGATGTGTCTGTGTTGTAGCCCGCCTCAGTACAAGCATAGTACGATAGGTGGCCGGGACCACAGATAATGGATAGATACAAAATAGGTAGGTAGGTAGGTAGGTAGGTAGGTAGGTAGGTAGGTAGGTAGGTAGGTAGGTAGGTAGGTAGGTAGGTAGGTAGGTAGGTAGTGTAAGTAGGTAAGTAGCAAGGCAGGTAGGTAGGTAGGTAGGTAGGTAGGAAGGAGGGTAGGTAGGTAGGTAGGTATAAGGTACTTAGTACTTAGTACTCCAACCAGAGAAGTCAGGTCGATCGCGTACCAATTGGCATCCAGGGCTATTGCAAATGGTACCATGAAGATTGTGCCTCAGACCCACGCCGAGAGGTCAGCAGCAGGATGGATGGAGGCAGTAGAACTTGTGAGGGGTGATACGCTCATGCAGAGGGCCATCACTGCCTGCACCATTTTATCCAATCCTGCCCGAGTTCGCTGCGCCACCACTACCTGGTCCAAACGACAGCTTCTAATTCGTGCAGGATGGACTGCAACATCTGGGCGCCAAGCCAATGCGCAGAAAAGCCAGCTGAACAAGTCACAGTGCGCAGAGTACTACGACATACTGCACAACAATCTGGATGCCGTCATTCGGCTGGAAGAGATCAATGCCTTCTCGCATGCACAGGGCTCGCACTACTACGCGTCCGTACTTGCAATGTTCATGAGCATCGATTACGGGTCCGACGAGGCCGCTTGATGATAGTGAGATATGTATAATGTATACAGTGACAGAGAGAGGCTTGTCGTTATGCGGGTTGTGCTGTGCTGGAGTATGCGTCGCTATGTCTCAGATTGCTCGGCGTAGGCGGGTGCCTTGTTCGTGATTTTGTGACTTGCACTTTGCATTGCATGAGTGGTGTGCCCGGATTGAGTGGCCTTGAATGCTCGAGCTGTGTTAGTGGGAAATCGCTAGAAGTCATAGTACCCCTCAGCCGCTATGCAGCAACAGTCCCAGAGCACTGAGACTCCGGCATCGCGATCAGAGCCGTTAACGACGACGCCTGCTAGACAGCGGACAAATAAGGATGCGGACAAACTCGTGACTCCACCGACAAGAACACAGGCAACGACACCAAGGGCACCGGCAAAGAGGAAACGCACTTCCCTACTGGACCTGGATGCAGAGAGTTCACCGATGAGGGCATTCCCAGTGACCACAAATGAGAAGAGACTTTCGACATCCATGATGACCATGGGTAATGCGAAGCTTTCGGACCACACCGAGCCGAAGCAGTCCAAGGAGGACAAGTTGGACAAGTGATTCCTCACATAGCTCCAATGGCAAACATGTACGGTCAGTACAGTCGACCGATGTCGTTTGTACATCCGCGAAGAGACATGGATTGCTGAATAGTCGGCAACCAGACGCAGGGGTGGGCCGGAAAGCTTTGCATGTGTGCATTGTGCATGTTTGGTTGTGAGTTGCTTTGTGATGCCAGTGCCATTGCCACCGACACGCTGCCCTTACTGCAATGACCAGCCCAATCGCAATATGCAGTGAGGTGGCCGAGGAATGGTACATGATCCCGCTCAGCAAAAAGGTATGCTTCTACACCGACCTTCAGGCATTTTTTGCAGGCCCGGTTCACGAGTGCATGATGTGCACAGCTATACAGTATGTGCGGCATGTAGGGTTGTCGATCAACAGGAGAGCGGGCCGACCCTCGCCAACCTCGCGTGGCAGCGCAGCGTCGCCGCGGACCACAGCGGCGGCGTGCGGCGGCTGACACGGCGGCGCCGGAGTTCGTCGACCTAGTGTCGGACGACGATGCACTGGCCGAGGACCAAGAGCCGCCTCGACTGGATCTGGTAGAGAGGCTGGCCCAACGGTGCCAGATCCTGAGCGAGCCACAGTTGGACCACGGGGATGGTGAGGCCATGCTCACCGTGTATAGAGACTTGGATATCGCACATTTGGTTGTGAGTTGCACATTGCTGCCGGTTGCGAGTTGTGGGTTGTGACGTGTGACATTTCTGTCCGATTGCCTCTGACCGACCTTATATCAATGATCCGTTGCCAAGTTGAGCAGGATGGCGAGGATGAGGGCGATGATGAATGTGAGGGAGATGTGATTGAAGTTGCAGTCGCAGCCCCTGTGCAGCCATCTCCGGACGAGGTTGTCCGCAGTCGTGGCCCGGCTCTAAGGTCAAGGTCACTTGTGATTGTGATGGTCTGGGTGGTGCGGGAGGAGGGGGGGGGGGAGCTGGCTTGAGGATTGATGCGCTTGAAATATTTGGCGGGTGTGAGAATTGGTCGCTTGGGGGTGGAGTTTGGTCTGGGTGGGGGCTCGCGGCTGGGGCTTGGCATCGGGCTGGGGCCAAGGGGCGGAAATGAGGTTCGAGGCTGGGTTTCGCGGAGGAGAACAACCAGTCGGGGTGATGTTGGGTTTGTGTGTACCACCTCTGCATAGCCAC